CAAATACTTGGTGATATCAACACAAAAGCTTCAAAATGACTGCAGTGGAAGTTCATTCGGGCTACAAATACTATGGAAAAGCAAAAGATCCCAACAAAAAGATAGTGTTGAATCACCTGAATATGAGTGTTACTAGAGGATCAATGTAAGTACACAGTTTGAAAATTTTCTGTTAATTATAATTAGGAGAGATAGAAAGGTAAGTGTATCGTTATCTATAAACAACGACTGTCGAGCTAAGCATCCATTCTCTCCTCAAAATATCACGATGACGTGACCGGCGCCATTACTTATTTATGAATATATCGCATTAAGGTTATTCCTTGTAGTGTCCTTTTTCGCATTACACGTTGCAATTCCGCATGTTAACATATTAAGGTTTTTGAGCATTCACGTAACTGAAACTACTACTTGTTGTTTGCTCCAGAGAAGCTAGCAATGTCTTATAGATTTACAGATTTATAGAATCAGTGTTCACTCGGCTGTCGACAGAAGCAAACCACTCTCGATGTGTGTCACGCGATAGTCTGTTTACTCGACAGCAACTATTTATTATGTGGTTCTCCTCATTGATTTTCATTAGCAGTAGTTTCGGTCGATGCGTCGTCGACTTTGGAAAGCAACCGTTTCGTGATGAGTGTGTGAGTGCTGACCACGTTTTGCGTCCATTTCTGCAATGGAAGCGCTCTGCACCCGTTGGCGATACTGCCATACAATCAAACCACTGGAAGCGGCTCCAGTTCTGATGGAGGAGACTCATTGGATAGCGGAAGATAAAGTGTTTATTGTGTTCTACCTTAGTACTATAGTTTTAAGTATATTGAACACGGATCCTCGGCTCTGTAAAGTTAATTGGATTAAGCCTTATCAAATAAATTAAATAAATTTAAAAAAGATTTACAGAACTTTATAAATCATGAGATTTTTGGTGTTGTAATTGCAAAGTGTGATAAGAAAAAGAACTCTACAAGGAAATACCTTAAAGAGTTTTGTACATTGAAGATGTAGATCTAATACCAAGCTCTATCTATGTCATTCTATGTGCAGATTTAGAAGCTTGTCATAACGGAGATTTTCAGAAATTTTAATAAAATGTTTGAACTTTTTTTTACATGAAATTGATTTTAGCGGCAAATTTACTTGAACAACTCAAAAAGAGCTTTAAAACGGAAACAAAGCCTTTACTTCATACACAAGAATAGAATGGCATTGAAACGGCTTAAAAATGCCAAAGTTGATAAGCATTCCTAACAAGTTTAAAAAGAGAAAAAGCAACAACATTTGTGATAAAACGCCACATCAGTACAAAGACGGCCATAAATATGTGAAAATGAGCTAAAAACTATGAAAGATTTATCGAAACGCAAGAGTATTATAAAAAGGACAGAGTAATTTTTAAACTAATAAGAAGAGCACGGTCTAAAAACGAACTAAAAAGGTGTTAAAATACTACCTGTAACCAGGGTTACTTCCACTCACTTGCTATAAAAAAATGTTTGTCAGAATTATGAAATCATGAGATGGTATATCGATAATTAGTACTTGTAAGTTACAAGATGAGGACGTGAAGTATGTGTTTGACACATAAAATCGGTCAATATTGCTTTCAGTGCGTCACAATCATCAATGTTACGACTCGTGAGTGTTCACTCTGAGTGAACGCTCACGAATCATAAGATCGCTTATTGTGACACTCTGAAAGCAAAATTGGCAGGTTTTATGAGTCAAACACGTACTTTAAGCTCTCGTCTCGTTACTTACAAGTGCAACATATCATTATATCATCTAATGATTGCATAATTCCGAAAAATATGTTTTTATAGCAAGTGAGTGGAAGCAACCCTGCCTGTAACCCTATAAATAATAACCTTTAAAACACCAAAAATGCCTTAAAATTGCCAAAATGGTCAGTCAACTCTCATTATGATCTTGAAAACGACAACTCCCATTGAAACGTCAAAATGAACCTTAAAGTGTTCAAAAAATGTAAAAATGGCATAGTTTTTTTTGTTTTCTGGCAGCTAGTTTGGCTTTTAAATGCCTCCAAAATGACCTGAAAATAAAACTAAAATAGCCTTCAAATCTCCAAAATGGCCTAAAACTACTGATTAGCCCTGAAATTAAATGCTAGGCCAGCCCTGAAAAAAAATTAGGAAGTATTGTGTGGTAAGTAAAATCATACTCTATGCTCCAAAAATTGCTAGGCCAGACCGGGAATCGAACTCAGCTGGCTCAAGCCTTAAAAACGCTCAAATATACCATCAAGCATATCTTAGTTTTTTTTAGGATTTGCTACGGTTCGGAGGGAAATTTTCTCGGAATTGCAGTCTTTATGCGAGAAAAACGATTTATCTTACTCCCAACGTTTCAATGTGATACAGCTTAGTTTTAGTTTTAGTGACTTCATATTTTAAAAATCAATAGCGGGTCCGGTCACGTCCTTGCAATCAGCTGGGAGTGAGGGAGGAATGTTTTATCGATCTTTGTTGTTTTGCGAACCGCGTTTACCTCTGTGTCCACATAAAGATCACAGAAGGGGAGATTTTGTTAGTAGGTAGAGTTAGTTGGATCAGGGTTCACGTTGATAAGTGATGCGATCGTGGTATTGATATAATGAATTGTTTTTCAAAATTCATGCGAAAAATATTTACGATCTTTGAGCCAGGAATGAAACCCACGAACTTCTGCTCAGTAAACAAAAACATTCGCCACCATGCTCCTCGAAAACACGGCCAAACTGTATTTCTGCAACGAACCTGAGGGCATCACTCGACCCATTGGTGACCTTCGCTACTCTTGTAAGTGAACTTAAACTGTTCTATGATTCCTGTGATATAAATATCAAATTAAAAGTAAATGTCCCAATGTTAGTCATAATATCAAGTGCCCAGGACCATTTCGGTTACTTCCGGATATGTTGCGGCTACCCCCGGGGAAATGATCAGTTTCTGACTTGGACCAAAACCCATGATGTGACTCCTCAAATCACATAAGAATCCAAAATCAGTTTCAATGGTAGTTATATCAAGTGCCTAGGACTACATCGGTCACTTACGTACATGTTCCAAATGCCCCGAGGAAATGACCAGTTTCTGACTTGGACCAAAATGTATTATATGACACCTCAAGTCACATGAAAATTCAAAACATAGTTCAATAGTACTTAATTATGTTTCGGGAACCCCGGGGGAAGGACCAGTTTCTGACTTGAACCAAAACGCATCATGCATCACCTTAAATCACATGAGAATTCATAATTTTGTTCAATCGAAGCTATCTGCTAGACGTAGGCTAACATGTTTACTTTTTACTTAGCGAACGGTGTTCGCTAACTGAAATAGATTTCACGTGTCAAATGCATTTAAAATGCGTCAATGTTCATCCTCGTGTTCAAATCAGATGACAATTTAAAATAAAGATTATTCCTAGTGCTCCCTGTCCAAAATATATAAGCATGTTCACCAGACAATTTATTCATGTATAAATAGGGTTTGAATTTAAATTTTCACTAGTCAAACGTTTCGGAAGGGCAATAAACTCCACATAATCTATACTTATCGTTATCACTCACTTTTATGACGCACTATCGGCATAGTCAACGTGTTTTTGAGAATTTATCGCAGATTTTCACGATAACTTGGCGATGAATTTAATAATTTTGGAGCTCCAAGATTTGTTTAAGCATAATGTGAAAGGGACAGCATGAAATTTTTGATATATTTTAGACATCCCTTTTCCACAAAAACCTCAATTCTGATCAGATCGTAGTCAGGACCGGAAATCGAATCTGCGCTCTTTAGCATGGCATGCTAAACGATCGCTCATTTCACATTCATAGCAATGTAGGATCCAAGCAGAAGCACCAATGCTCATAGCTCTACTATATTTAATATTACATATTTATTGCAATTGATGATAGGAATCCATAAATATATACTAATCAAACTCTATCAAGCACTGTAGTTCATGATAGTGCAATTTCACTGTTTCGTTATTTTCAATTCATGCTTAAAAGTACTGTGTCATAAAATACCATATTAAATAGCGGCGCCAGCGGTGTAGTGTTAAGCATGACTTCCTGGGTTCAATCCCAGTCGGCGTCGTCGGGATTTTCTGAGGCATACTATCTCTTATCACGCGGAAGTAAATTGGTCCCCGGTCCATGAGTTGATGGGTCGATACGTAGGGTCCAGGTGTGGGAGCTGCCTCCCTGGTATTGGTATTCAGTACGGAAAACAAGATCGACGGATAACAAATCAAGGAAAACAAAATATCTAATGAATAATCTCGATTTTTTTTTCTTTATTGTAGAGAAGTAACTTCAATTTTGGTGTTGATAGGAATAATCTAAATTTGTCAAAATAATTCTGATTCAATTGACCAGATTTAACTTTCAGAATGTACCCAAAGAACATTTATTTGGAGCCAACGTGATGTTCCAGTTGGACGTAATAGCCAGAGAAGAAGTAGAAACCATAGCAATTACCAACAAATCAAATTAATTCAAATGCCACTTTTTTGAGCTTCTTTCAATATCGAATGTATGCACACAACACATCATACAGAGAAACCGAAAAAACTGGTATATTCGAATTCAATGTCATGGTCGTTTTCACTCTCATTCCTCTTTCGTTAAGTTCATGCGCGCTGAACGATAAAATGATGTTATCTTTAAGCCAATCACGTCTTTTTCGGGCCGGTTTCTTGCAATTTCCTTCCCGATGTATACGGTAGCTTTGAAATGGTATTTATAAGCATTTTGAAACGAACATCGTTAATGCTATGTTGAAGGAGAAGAGTTATTACTTGTTATAAGGCTCTCTTGATGTCTTTTTTTAATTAATAACAATTATTTTAACATTTCATAACCATGCAGTCTGAACATAGCACAAGGCGATAAATATTGGATGAAGAGCTAGTGGGATCTTAAATCATCTTAAATCGTAATTTGATTATTTTCAATCGATAGAAACTGTCGGATATCGATCATTGAGATAATTTACGAAGGCATTAAACAACCATATCGTAAGTAAATGCAATAAAAATAACACAAATGCGTACCTTGATTGTACCTGGTGCAGTGCAATTAAACTAGAATTTATTGCGTTTTGAAGTTAGTATGGGTTCAATTTGATACAGCTTTTTACGTCAGTTCACTGAGTATTTGCTCAGCCAATACAAGGACGTTGGCTTAATTCCAGGCCCATAATAAAAAATTAACAAGCAGACACTTTAATAATTGTATGTATCGAAAACGTGGAAGAATATGTATTTGAGTAATATACTTTGACGCGTTAAAAATAGTCAACGACTGCTTTTACGAGTGCTTGAGTCACACACTTTACCGTAGTATTGAATTAATTGTACCGATTTCAGATGAACCAATTCCATTTTTTCCTATGGGTAGTTTTCTGCTGGCGCATGTGGTGTAGTGGTATTCGTGACTGCTTTCTCACTCTAATGGGTCTGGGTTCAATCCCAACCGAGATCGGTGGGATTTTACTGTGGCATAAAAATCTCTGGTCACGTCTTCCTTCGGAAGGGAAATAAAGCCGTTGGTTCCGACCCATGAGTGTTGAATGGGTGGGATATCCTACGCGGGTGTGGAAGCTGCCTTCCTGCACATTCGATTGCCGTCAATGGATGGCAATCGATGTCCGTCGGTGATTGGCACTAGATTTCGGAACAGAGATCGACGTCTAATGAAGGAATGAAATGGGAAGTTGTAGTGTCTTGAGTTGAGTTCCTATGTTCATTCCTGCACAGTGCGGCGGAGCCGGTCGTAAATAATTTTTTGTTTTTAAATGTAATACCCATAAACAATAACCATAAGAAGCGCAAAACCTCCAATTCAAGATATCCCAAGCAACACGGCTTATCATAAAGAAGTTGAAAATACTTTTCAATTACTTACGTAAAGAATCAATAATACTTTAATATACATCATTTAATACATTCATACAACCTGAAAAGCGCAAGACGCGGAGCTTATAATACTAAATATAAAAGTCTATTTTTTTATTAAAAAAAATATATAAAAAAGAATATCAGTGATTACCTCTCACCCCAGCAGGCCCGGGTTCAATCCCAGTCGGCGCCGCCGGGATGTTCTGAGGCATAACATCTCTGATCACGCCTTCCTTCGTTGATACCGGTTCATGAGTGGATGGGTCGATAGGTAGGGTTCAGGTGTGGGAGCTGCCTCCCTGGCGTCGCTAGCATTGGTGTTCAGTACGGAAAACAAATAAAAAAAAAAAAAAATAAAAATCAAATTGCGCCCTCTGTCTTCAAACCATAAAAAAAAACAAATACAATCAATGTTTTTCAAAATCCCAATTTTGTATGTAACTACATTTTTGCTTAATATGTATTTTTATTCACCTTTTATTTGATATTTTGTTCTTTGAAATCGGCCCAGTGGTTCAAAAGTTATAAATTTAAAAAAACAAGTCATTCTTTGGAAAAAAAAATCGATTTTTGGTGGAAATTGTCGTAAAAAAAAAAAAAATATCGTTTTCCAAACGGCGCCGGTGGTGTAGTGGTAAGCGTGATTACCTCTCACCCCAGTAGGCCTGGATTCAATCCCAGTCGGCGCCGCCGGGATGTTCTGAGGCATAACATCTCTGATCACGCCTTCCTTCGGATGGGAAGTAAAGCCGTTGGTCCCCGGTTCATGAGTTGATGGGTCGATAGGTAGGGTCCAGGTGTGGGAGCTGCCTTCCTGGCACGTCGCCTAGCATTGGTGCTCAGCACGGAAAACAAGATCGACGGAAAAAACAAACCAAAGGAAAAAAAAAATATCGTTTTGCTATAGAATTGCTGTATGTTGATATTTTGTAGCTCTGGTTTGGCCAAGGTTTCGTTTTCATCTGCCACTGCAATAATCCAGGCAGCGAAATATTCGAAATATATTAATATTTATCAAGCTTCTGCACGGCCCTGGCGTATTGCTTAACATCTCACGAAAAAGCCATGAGTTCAAATCTCACCCCAGACAAGTCACGAATGATGCAAGAGTGTTATTTAAAGTGACAATAATAAAAATAATAATATAAATATAAATAATATAAATATCTTCTCTGCGAGTGTGCTTCTCACGATTGCCAAAATAATATCTTCCCTGCAAATATGCAATCTGGCTCGAACGAAATAAATTATTTTGTTGGTATTTTCTAACGTGGAAAATCCATTATTTAGATTGGAAAAAAATGACATAAATTAAAACTCCCTTGTCAATAAAGTGACCTTTGATCAAATTGAAAATCTTCCGTATTGTATTTTTGGGTTTCAATCAAGTTTATGGTTGTCATGGCATTCTTGATTTGGTACAACATACCGGATAAAATAAAGAACCCAAAGATGAGATTTAATTTCAGATAAATACAATACACTTGTTTTGTTTCCGTTACAGATATGGATTGCTGGGAGCTTCAGGATGTGGCAAAACAACACTACTCTCGTGTATAGTGGGTCGAAAATTTTTGAACAGCGGTGAAATTAGTGTACTTGGAGGCACACCTGGAACGCCTGGATCGGGAGTACCGGGACCAAGAATTGGCTATATGCCGCAAGAAATTGCCCTTGTGGATGAATTCTCAATCAAAGAAACGATTTATTACTTTGGACGCATATACGGCATGTCAACAGAGAAAATACGAGAACGATATAAACTTCTCAAAGAACTGCTGGAGCTACCATGCGATGATCGGTAAAAATAAGAAAACGCCAACACTCGCGACAGAGACGGGTCGTGACAGAGATGAGAGTAGAAGATACTCACAAAGCACATTCTTTATAACCTTGTTTCAGACACATCGGAAATTGTAGTGGAGGTCAACAGAGACGAGTTTCTTTCGCTGCTGCCATGGTTCATGAACCAGAACTGTTGATCTTGGACGAACCGACAGTTGGTCTTGACCCGCTATTACGGGAAAGAATATGGCACTATTTAGTCGATACAACAAGTACAAGCAAATTGGCTGTGATTATAACTACGCACTATATAGAGGAAGCAAGACAAGCTTCTTGTGTAAGATTATGAAAGGAATTATGAAACATTGTTTCGCACCATGAGCTGTTCGTAGGTTAATTTTTTAACAATTACCCTTTTCAGATTGGTTTAATGCGAAATGGTATTCTGCTGGCGGAAGACACGCCTGTAAATATTATGGAGCTTTTTAATTGTACAAATCTGGAAGATGCCTTCCTAACCCTTTGCCAAAAACATGGTCCATCAGAAGAGGCCGATCAAACTACTCATCAGACACACACATTACGTAGTATAAAATCCATAGACGGAATAGAGGACGTTGGTTCTGATATCAAAAAATCCATCCCGCCACTGTCGTCTCCAAACGATGAAAAGAAAGAGATGAGTAAAAGTTTGTACGAGGAAAGTAGGAAACCGATTACGAAAACTATAAAAGAGTTTTTAAGCTTTACGACGAAACGAAGAATGAACGCATTGCTTTCGAAGAACTTCCTACAAATGATCCGGCAACCTGCGTAAGTATGTCTCTTTGAATGATAATTATCATCGCTAGCACAGGCAGACAGAGTATAGGTACCTATTCATTTACTTGACAATTGAACCGAACCCATCGAAAATTGACTGCCATACTAACGTTATATGGACACCCAATGCATAACACTGACCAGCTTTATAAAATAAAATGCTTTTCATTCCACCACTTTTAGGCAGCAGATAACTACGATACAACAGAAACTTCGTCTTTACAGATATTTTATATTGGACTGGGACAATTTCAGGCAAATGACTTACTTTTTCGTATTCATATTAAATGTGATTTAGTGACAAAGTAGGACCATGCTTTATCATGTGTGACATTTTTGAGATTTTTCTATACAATATTAACTTACAAGAACGCAAAAATGGTTTTACCTATGCTTTAACAAATCTCAATCATAGCTGGGTTCTGATGAAAATGTTTAAATTGACCAACAATTATCTCAATTAACAACTTTGGAAGTACCCAATCAAATAACACTAATAGCTAATTCGTTTTTTTTTATCGGCGTTGCCAGTTCTAGCCCAGTGGCATCGAATTCGGTACAGGGGTGCAACTTCAACCCCCAAAACCACCTCATCAAACCTCGATTTTTCAATTTAACTTAATAATATGTTTTCGACATACTATTAAAATCTGCAGGGCCTTATATATAGAAGCCTGCGGTATGTAATTCGTACTTGGTGGCTCCATAACGGAATCTCGAATACTGAGCTCTACTATCGTTGATGCCTATTGATGTTGTTAGAATGACAACAGACAACAGACAACAACTGACATTCTAGACCGTGAACCAAGTAAGTTGGCTACGCGATTATGGATCTTAAACCGTTTTAATAGTTGAATTGAACTCTGTAAATGTCTGTCTTGGAAAAATCATTTTCAGATTTATATATTTTGATAAGACATGTAATCTTCAAGAAACTTTGTAATTTGAAATCTCGAGAAAATGTTTAGACAAATAAATTGATTTTGAAGAATGCTATATATATATATATATATATATATATATATATATATATATATATATATATATATATATAGGATAGACAAGTAGATTCTTGTAGGACTAAGGTCCAATACCATTCCTAATTGGATCTCACGCAAGATGTTTTGATTGTTTGAAAAATGTTCTGTGTCCCTCTGTACGTTAAATAAAAACCACAAAGGGTTGAAAAGGGAAGTGAATTCAAACATATCCTAGGTTCTATCATAGAGGTAACTCTAAGACCAGAAGGTCCCGAAGAAACGTGCTCAACTTTTTGGCTCAGTTCTGGTACTCTCTTCGGTCCCAAGCTTATCGATTCACCCCTCGAAACATAGGAAAATCGACTAACCCCTCATTTTATCTGTCAAACTTTCATAGCGAATCACAACAAACATTGTGTAGTACTAGAATTTTGACTAGAATGGGGTACGTTAATCGTTTGCTTGGGACCAATAGGCTAGTCAAGTAGTGAGCCAATTTAAAATCGTTAGTTTCGTATTGATTGTTGGTTCTATTAAGCCACTGCGACGGCACTGTCGAAACCGAAATTTTTTCAGTGCGATCCTCAACCTGAGGTAGATTTTAAAAACAAACGATAAAACTGACAGACCCAATCTTTGATACCCGATCCTGGTTGGAACTGAATAATAAATGAATTTTAGCTATAAGTTGAGGGTTGGTGTCCAGTGGAGGCATAAGAGCCATGGCTAAGAAAGTATAACAACATGAAATGTTTGCATAGAGACATTGGACAAGTACAGGAAAATCCAAATTCTATAATCAGCGCTGATATTTTGCGTAATGTTGCGTTACAAACTGTTCCACACAAGATATCACGGACACGGCTTACCCAATCACTAATTACAATACACCGAGTACACGAATGAGTATCGTGAGATAACGCGTCGTTTCCTACACTGTTGTTTTAATTACTCTGAACGTATCACGAATGAACAAATCGTCTACTATCATAAACTGAAAAGTTTGTTCTATGTATAGTTGATTGATCAAACAACCCCGCCAATAGTTGAAGTCGGTTAGAATTGTGACATGCAATGTTTGCATAAATCCGTTACTATGCCATTTAATTGCGATTGTGCTTCTATAAATCCACAAGCTTTTTATTTTACTAGTTTTGATTCTGCATCTTTGATAAAGATAAAAATGCTAATTGATGTGTTGTTTCCAGCTTGTATCGTTATGCGATATAAAGTAGCTTCCTCTACGCTTGTTCAATAATTTACTATACAAAACGCGATACAAGTCAATGTACATTTACTATAATTATCATACTATTCTCAATATGTGGCTTGCCTTAAATGAGACTTATGAAAGAAACATTTTATAACATGTGCACGTGATTTCTGTTAGCTATGGTTTGCTGAAAAATAAAAACATTTTTTCTTTTGCTGTCTTGTACCAGATACAGCTATACAGTCCTTTTATGTTGTGTTCCAAATTTTTGGAACATTTTTTCCATAATTGGAACACAGCATAATAGAAACGTATAGCCAAACCGGTCACCTACCCTAGCACTATTATATATGTGAATAATGGTATAAGCCACCCATTGAATTGTATTACATGTTTTTGGATTTGTTCTCTGGTTCATCTGACCAGCGCCACATTTTCTACGCCTGGCCTTTAACTGGAATTTACAAAATTCCAAATTGAACGAAATATAGGTAATCTTTTTACAACTCATTTATTTATCTAGGTTCAAATGCGGAAGCTTTGCGGAGCTGAAATTCATCATACATTTTACAATGTTTCTTAATACTAGAGCTAGTAGAAGAAAGGCCAAGAAAATAAAACACATAATGCAACATAGACAAGGTCATTAGCGTCATATTGAGTGACCAGAAATAAATTGGCCACATCTGGACATGTTCGGGGTACACACAAATAAGTGATTACCACCTAGTTTGAACCCAAATATTATGCTACATAATAAACATAGAATAATAGGATACTCGATAGCCATGATCAGTTTGATCACACCCAGAAATGGCCATAACATAACTTGAGAATATATCATACACTAACTTAACTCACACGAGAATACAACAATGAGACCTTTGGTGCCTAAGACTGGATCGGTAATTTTCAACCCTATTCCAGGTGGCCTCGATAAGGTGACTAATTAGAATCGGTTTGGGGAAAAACCAATCAATAACAGATCCCATGAATCGGCATCACAAAGTCAAAGACTTATCCCTTAATTCGTGATATTTTCCAGTTCGTTTATTTAATGCAGTGGTCTACACCGACGCTACACCGCCGAACACCGAAAAAAAATAGGATGTAGCTATTGGTTGCATCTTTGTTTACAAACAAAATTTGATAATTTAATGATGATGAGCTGTCAATGACTCGCGCTTATTGCTGCTTACACTACATCGGTGTAGTGTAGCAAAAACGAAAACGACTTAATCCAAAAGTCTTAAAAAACAATCCACGGAGTCGAGTAACATCGAATAATCTCGAGAAAGAAAAAAATAATCTAGGCGATCATTATGAGCTCTTCTTATTTTTCGTGGGAGGCGACTTGGTTTGTGCCAGTGCTGAAAAATCTCGACAATACACGGTGATATTGACAATTCTACTTTGGTCACTCATTTGAGCTAACAGTCATAGTCAAGGCAAACCATGTCAATTGTCAATGACAATGCTATCAGTGACGAACATGTGTAGATTTTTCAATTAACTAAATTTATAACGAAATTAAATGACTTGAGCAACACAATTGCATGGAGCCGTTAATGTGAGCAAGCATCTACGTTCTGAACTGCTTGGATAACAATAATGTGACACAAAATGCACGAAATTATACTTTTTGTTTCCAGGTGAATCTTTGTCATTGACGAAAAATGAATGACATTTTGATGAAGGTTTTTTTAAGGATGAAGTCTGTCAGTGACTACGTGAAGAACAATTTTGTCAATATCGCGCGATGACAAAACTCAGCACTGGTTTGTGCTTTCTCTCGTTCACGTATGTCCCGTATTCTTCAATTATATTTCTCTTTGCAGCACCAACCGCTTGCCTCCTCGTCGTCCTTTATCCACTTTTTCTCCAGCCTGATATTAAACATTTATAGTAGTAATACACGGTACTCGGATGCTTAAATACTAGTTGCTGCCCAAGTAACAATCTAAATGCTTGGAAGATTTATATTTGTTTTATCATTGTTTTATCATAGCATCCCTTGAAGCCTGTGGTTGTATTACGGTTGTGTGTGGTTGTCATAAAATCAGACCGAGAAGTCGTCTATAAAACTGTTTTATGACTACTAAATTAAAACTTAGACTTCATAGTGGTTCTGTATATAACTCAAGAACAAAACATGCAATTATGTTTTATGGCATACTTTTCATGACAGATATAAAACTTGAAGCACTCTTATACCTTCATTAAAGCCTCATTACAACTATCATCTTTATCAGAGGCCTAAGATCCATAGATAAGAAATATACTACAACAATAACAAAAAATACTATGAAAATTGTAATGAATATAAAAAAAAAAAAAAAAAAAATCAATTCAGATACATGATATGAAAACCCCTTCAGTGCCTTTGAACACGATATAGATGAGACGATCGCCAATATGAACCTCCGGCCCTAACTCTACAGTTATGCGCTCCCTCATATAACATAAGGAGCTCTTAAAAATATTGAACAAGCGGCTTTCTGATACACTTCCGAAGGATCCACGAACCCTTCTTAAAACAACGCAGATAGTTTCACTAAATCCGGTTGGAGATGGCCAGTATTGGCATCACGGGTTTAAACCTTGTATTGAAAGCATTTCTTACTAGCAAACCTAGCTATAGGTAGAACTTAAATATAACTTAACGAATGAAGGAATGAAGATGTTTTATCAACTTCTTCAGGAGCGATTTATGCGGTTGTAATATAGTTTTATGATAGTCATCAAAAGGTTGTTAAAACTTTTCGACCAGGAGGAGGTTTTATGCTTTAATTTTTAACAACCACGTGTAGAGTGTGATAAAACTGACATAAAACCTAAAACTATAAGGCCTGGGTTCAATCACAATCTGAGGCACAAAATCTCTGATCACGTATTCCTTTGGGAAGTAAAGCCAATGGTGCCCGGTCTATGAGTTCATGGGTCGATAGGTAAGGTCCAGGTGTGGGAGCTGCTGCCTCCCTGGCGTCGGTAGCATTGGTACTCAATACGGAAAACAAGATCGACGAAAAACAAATCAAAAGAAAGCAAAAAACAGGAGGTTGTTAAAGCAATGTGGTCGTCAGTGAAGGTTTTATAGTTTGGTTATAACAACTGCTATAAAACTTCAATAAAACAAAAAAAAATGTTACTTGGGTGTTGTTTCTGGGTACAGTTTACTTTCTCTTCACTGTTCTTCGGCCCGTGTTCACTATATGTTCCGCAAGCAACACCACCTCTGTTTCTCTGTTTCCTTATCGTTGTTATCCAGCGAAGCCCCTCCAGCCACCACTCCACCGTACGATTTGCTGCCGCTCTCTTTTCCGTCCTCTTTTTGCTTTTCTGGCTGCAACCGGGCCTTCCTCTGGTGCCCCTCAATCTTAAATAAGACATCCCGTCTCAATAAGAGGAAATTAATCCAAAGTGAAAGTTTACATTTTCTCGTCTAAGTATACTGTGTACTCCTGTGCACATGTTGAGACACTATTTTACAGCAAATTTCTCCCAGATTACACACTTACTTTTCCGCATTTCCCCTGCACCAATGATAAATTAATAATCGAACCTTCACTGTAATTTTAATCCACATAGCTATTCAATCTTTAGATTTATGCGTCAATGCATAACAAAGATTAATTTGACTTTAACGTTATGAAAAATGCTTTCTCCTCCGATATTCTGTACGTTACTTGAACAGCAGCAGCAGCAAGCAATGCTCACAGCGGACACGATACAAGGCTTGTATCGATTACTGCATTAATGTTTAACATATGTATTATAAAAGACTCATTAAGTAATTCAAAACAGTTCTTCTCTAAATTTCTTGCAAGTTTTAGCAAAATTGCAGGAATTTGAGCATTCCACGGCGAATGATGAATCGGAAAACTCGACCTTCTCTGATTTGCAAAAAAAACTTTGCATAATTGTGTGTTATGGGCCAATCTCATAACATTTTTACAAAAACAGCCATTTTGGATGATGTAATTTTTTCAAATTGGCGTCTTTGTAATTTTACAATAAATTGTAGTATGAATTGTACTACCGTAAGCTGGAAAGATAATTAGCCGAAGGTGGCGGTTTTTTTTTTGAATATAGACAGTAGACTGACATCGTATGTGGACAACTTTTACCTTCTCAATCAGTGCCTGGACCGTAGCCGAGGACAACATCATTTGTCATACTTTCTACCTTTTCATCCTTCGGTAATTCATCGGAATCAGCTTGCATCCGTTCCATTATGCTATCCCTTCATATCCTGCCATATCCGTTGAAAATTTACACACACACTTATCTCCTTTTCTGCCAATATTCTTGCAGTGGAATGGTTTTTCTGTTCCTTTACCCCATATTTCAGTTGGTAAGTTTTTATGTAGCGATAGGTGGTGATCCAAAAGATCTTCGACTGGGCATTGTCAACGACGAGGTTAACAACATACAGGAGTGCTTCAACAGGTCCCTGACTACTACATTCTATCATGACGATTACGATTGCGAGTTATACAAAGTTTCCTGCCGGTTTCTGGATCATCTGAATCGGAGTGTTGCGATACAGGTTTGGTTACGTTTCGAATACGTTTGAATTCGAAGCTCAAATTATGCGCGAAGCAGCAGAAATCTCATACTCGGAACTATGAAGTTTGCTTCACGTATCACGCTTGCGAATCTACGCAAAGCGCAACTGAGGTCTTTATCAGATTGATTTTAACGATTCTTTACAGGAGTATTACGATACATACGACGAGGCTTATAAGGCAGCCAGGAATGGGAAAATTTGGGGATTCATTTATTTTGCCGACAACTTCACTGAGTCATTGCAAGACGTGAGAGACAACGTGCGAGATGCGGACGCCGGATCCTTCCACACTTCAGAAATCAAGGTTTATCTAGACAAATCGGATCAACAGGTGACATTCTTTCTCGAAAAGAAACTAATTGATACATACAAGGAGTTCGCCGAGGGAGTAATGACCGATTGTCATCTTCCGAAGCAGTTGGCAAACATCCCAATCAAGTTTGAGGATCCCTTGTACGGTACATTCAACGATCAGTTTACTGATTTTATGGCACCAGGAGTGGTAATGACGTATGTTTTGAAAAATGTTCGAAACTAACGAAAATGTTATTAACGGCAATGGTTTCTTTTTTAGAATGATCTTCTTTCTTGCCACCCTCATCACCGCGACGATATTTATCACCGATCGACTAGAGGGAGTATGGGATAGAACATTAGTAGCAGGTAGGTCTGAGATAGTTGCAAATTACATATGTACATGATCCATGTGTAATTTATACTAGCACACACGCCTCACATCGTTAGATGAAAAATAATTTTCTAATAAATGCTACAATTTGCTTTCCCGTCGTCACATGTACAACAACCAACGCCAGGTATCACGGCCCTCGAGTTGCTGTTAGCACATATAATTACGCAAACGTCGATTATGCTAATCCAATGCATTGAAATTATTCTTCTGGCTACGTTCATATTCGACGCACAGAATCACGGCAGCAACATCACGGTTGTCGGTCTGCTGATGCTTCTGGGCTTCGCTGGAATGCTGTATGGTAAGTACGCGATTCATACAACATTGAAACAATGACAAAAGGAAACCAGATACAGCATATACACAATTTAGATGCATTTTTTACGTTAAGGAGAACACAAAAAAAAATTGATATCACATCAAAGTGGATACACTTCAATCGTGTCAAAAATATGGTGTAATATTACTTGCCAAAAAGGACAAAATTATCATTAATACAGTGCATGAACTGACATTATGCTGCTTTTGCTGTATTTGTTTATGTGGCCATAAAAATTACATGAGATTTTCAACATGATTGAAGTGAATTCTCTTGGATGTAATATTAAAATTTATTTTTTGCTGTGAATTGATTTACAGACAATCGATGCAAAATAAGCATACGGTATACACCAGAACATTGCATTGGCCATCTTAAGACTCAAAAGCAAATCGAATGGAACACGTCTCCACAGTCTCTCATATCTAATAACAGAGAACAAATTTCATCTCCGAGGAGCACCAAAAGCTGCTTCTAGCGTCAAAAGCTCGTGTTAGAATTTTCGCAGCCAGTGCCACAAAAAAAAATTAAATGTTTCGATACTTGTTTGGAAGGACTACCGTGTTGGACCGAAATCCATACACAGCAAAAAAATAATTTTGATATCACGTCAAAGTGGATGCACTACAATCATGTCGAAAATATGGTGTAATATTACTTGCTAAAAAGGACAAAATTATCATTAATAGAATGCATGAACTGACATTACGCTGCTTTTACTGCATTTGTTTATTTATGTGGTCATAAAAATTACATGAAATTTTCGACATGATTGTAGTGCATCCACTTTGATGTGATATCAAAATTATTTTTTTGCTGTGTACACCTAAGCATTAGAGAAACTTTAACGGTCAACATAAAATTATCATTTCACAATACGCTTCGTATCACAGTCACTTCATATAGTTTTTTCTATGTTTTATCCGTATTGTCCATGTCAGGAACTTAAAATTACTCAAAACTATTAGAAAAAAAACAAACCATTAATCAAAATCCGAACACTGAGCTGTGACAGAATCAAAAGTCGGATGAAAAATTTATTCGGTCGGTGCGCGTCTTTTGTTTTTGAGAATAATGGGCACAAACATTCAAATCACGCGCTCTTATTGACTTCGTTCGGTAGCGAAGCATCGAACAAAATTGACTTGTTAACGGCTTGCTCGATAAGCCCAAAATGGGCGATTAGGCCGAAATAGTTCACTATCCTACATATGGAAAGGTAAATACATTTAGAAAGTCATCTGTAGTAGAAACGTTCCATTTCGTGTAAAAATCGTGTAAAATATTGTACAAGAGATATAGACGTAGACGTTACCTCATATACATTACATTGGGATTTATCACTGCCTCTTATGGCGAATTTGTTTATTCGTCAGGTTCAGTTCCAACCCATGCGAACCAGAAGTTTATGTCAGTGCAAACCTCGACTCACGCCAGATTAAAAAAAAACAAATGATCGACCTATCTTTTGTCAGACAACAAGCAGACCTTAAAACCTTGATACCGATGCAGGTTGAAACTAAAATAATAAACAAATCCGCTATTAGATGGAAGTTATATACCATTTGATAACAAGCATGCATATTTTGTTGAAATATGCTACCATAATCGCATATCGATTCCATTTGAAAATGAAATCAAGCAAAGATGAGACTGCTATGCGATTATGGGTAGTATACACACATGTAGTTAATGCCAGATTTTTACTACACAGAAAAAATTCAGAATTTTAACTATCGCGTAAAATCTCCCTTCGTTTAATTTTGAGCTATTCTTGGCATAAACAGTGGAATCGTTTACAAGCTCGCATACAATATTGCTAATTTATGCGATATGACGCTTAAATTTACACGAAATATTGCGTAAAGTTATGCCATATCTGGCGTTAATTTTATGTGCGCTATATCTCGCAGAAATTTACATGAATTTTTCGAACGGTGTAAAAGTGAGTAATATAACATTCAGATTATTATTACATTATTATATATATATATATATTATACATATCAATACATCGATATTACGTTACACAGTTCGAAAAAGTAGTGTAAATTCCTGTTCAATATGATGCACATAAATGGAGCGTCACATATCATATAAGTTTACATTATAAATCATGTAAAGTTCTGAGACATTTCATGCAATGTAGCAAATATTGTATACAAAAGCCCATCTTTGTAAACAAGATTGTTTACCAGTTGCTCGGTTGCATGAAATTAAATACAAGTTTACGTCAATGAATGTTTACATCACAATTAAAATTCAGAATTTTTATCTGTGTACACAGGCTATTTTGATATTAAAAGTCAAACACATGATTTCCAGTGAAAATTTGTCACATTGCATAATGTTACGTAATATCAACTAAAGTCTGAACGTAGTGTAAAAGTGAATATGATAAGGTCATATAAAAAAAATCAGCCGATATAAAAGAAATTCCGTACACCTTAGCCCAGAAATGCATTGAATTATATATTACAGCAGTTTCTTAATACTGATTTATACAAAAAAAAATCGAGAATTCTACTATATATAATCTAATGTGAATGCTTGAATCATTCCCCAAAATGTCATAGCTTCATATTGTACTATAACTTTCCCTTAACTTTACAATACTATACTGAATGTTATTCTATACTTTTATTTAGGGTTATTAATTTCCATATTTTGCGACGCACACTCTACGGCTAACTTTATGGCGACAGGTAGCTTCTATCCAATGATCATCATGTGCGGTAAGAATCTGTGAGCTCCTGTTAAAAAAGTTATTGATCTACATTTTTATTTCTACTGTATTTTAGGAATTCTATGGCCCTTGGAAGGTATGCCTCATTATCTGCAATACGTGGCATACTGTTTCCCTTTTACGGTGCCTTCGATGGCAGTGCGTAACGTGCTTTCCAAAGGATGGAGTATCACAAACTCCCAGGTCTATATGGGCTATGGAGCAATTGGTATCTGGATAATGAGTCTACTGTTACTCTGCTTTATCGGATTGAAAATCAAGAAATAGAGGGTCCAAACTGCCCATAACCTTTCCGCTCAATGAATAGCATTTTAGTTAGTTGTTTCTTTTGTTAGCTCTGTAAATAGGTACTACATAGGAATTGCAGTTACACGATTGGTTGTTCAATCGAGAAGATGCAAAAAACATGCTTAGATTGGAGATTGCTTGCAAGAAATTGGATGTTTCAGGTCAATAAGGCTTCTAATTGGTCAGCGCGTTGAAAAGTAAGAAATTCATCAAATGAGTACCATCACTTTTATACAATCTCTCTAAAATAAGTGTAGCAACGCAATCAACGCTGCTACCGATGTGATAGCTTTTACGTAAGGTATATTCTGAAAGTCTGTTATTTATAATACCGAAATTTTTTAAGATATTATTTTGCAATAAAGGATGAATGCGAATAATAGTAGCTTTGTATTGTGATGAAAGTAATTTATTTTTGTGATGCATACTTGCAGAGCAACAAGCAAACCTCAAAGCGAAGATGCAACAATGGATCACGATATGGTGTCATTGGGATTTTGACACGCTATATGTGTTTACTGGATTACAATCCATAGGGAACATTCTAGTAGTGTGGTTAAGTTGGGAAACAGTTTTAAAACAAATACCAGTAGGTCTACGGAAACAGCCAAAATCCTTTTAACTACAGTGTCTTTTATATTTTATGCTTTTGTATAAAACTGAAGATCTAATATTTTTCAATAAACGAATAACCTCAACGAAGTTTCTTTCCAATATTCAGAAGAAAATCCTTATAAACCTAATAAAAAATATAACAGCATATTTTGTACTATCTCAAGAAGATCTGATCAGGTTGTACCGAACAACCATCTTGTCGGTTCTAGAGTACGGACCCGAGCAAAGTCGGTTAACAAAATGAAAGCAAATCGATATTAATGTTTGCAGTTCCTATCATAATGAAAACTCATTTTGATTTCAATTGTCGCGACATAAGTCTGGTATCATATTGTGCTTTCATTATGCAGTCAAAACTTTTTAAATGAAAGCAACTTAACTTGAAGTTTTGCTGTTAACGTCTTGTTTGAAATTTAATTCAAGTTTATCTACCGTTGAACTAACGATTATTGTTTATTTGTTTTGTTTTACACATTTTACGTCATTCATGACTTGGCCGGGGTGAAATTTGAGCTTAACTCTTTCAGCGTGAGAAGCATGGATACTAACCATTTACGCCACGCCCGTATTCAGTTAAACATTATGAATGCAAAATCAGTAATCAAATTGATTTTATTGAAAGCCAGATTAGTTTTCCGTTTGATTCACAGTGTAAAATTTTGCTCTCATTTATGCTGTGTTAACCGTTAAGTCAACCAAAATGAGATCAACTGGAGTAATTAGTTACATCATAACAGCAAATTTTGATTTCAATTTGATCTCCAGCTTTGCTCGGGGAGCGTCTGCTTTCAATCCGCGACAAAAACACACATCCTGAAGCTGCAACGGGTTCAATACCGTTGCCTCCGAATCGCGCTTGGCTTTATGCACTCGACGCATACGATGAGCCACGAAGTACTCGCGGGTGTTCTCCACAGATTGCTTCGCGGAACTGTCCTTCCGGTTTCTTATCCGTTGTGAAGTAATGACCCCCTTTGGTAATAGAAAACTTTGAGAAGCTGCTCGACAGAAATCCTCAAACAAGATTCATGAGTCTCTATTACGATTACATGTCGCTGAAGATTGGCCCTTCTTCGTACAATTCCAATCGTGTTTGCCTCCCAGACTTTTATAGTTCCTCTTTAAATTTTGCTCTGACCATGTTGCAAGAAATCCGTGGAATACCAGATCACCATCGGTCGATGGTTGTCTCCTTAATGTTTGCAAACAAGTACCACCATGTCAGTAAAAATAGGAGTTTTTTCACAGATGGGTCAGCTATAAACGCTTCCACTGGATTTGGAGTATTCAACGAATTTCATAGCGCCTTATATCAACAGGAGAAAAAAAAACCCTTTGCCGTATAGGTTCCGGAACTAGCAGCCATATTCTACGCAGTACACAGTAAAAAAATAATTTTAATATTACATCCAAACCTCCAAACCTCATGTAATTTTTATGGTCACAAAAATAAACAAATGCAGTAAAAGCAGCGTAATGTCAGTTTATGTACTGTACTCATGATAATTTTGTCCTTTTTGGCAAGTATTATCACACCATATTTTTGACACGATTGAAGTGCATCCACTTTGACGTGATATAAAAAATATTAGAGCAAATTTCCTCACTACCCTCTGATAAATATTTCATTTTTACGGATAGCCTTAGCTCGTTGGAGGCTATTCGTTCAATGAGGACGATAAAGCACTCCTCTTATTTCCTGACCGAAATCCGAGCCAAATTGAGTACTTTATCTAGCTGCTCTTATACCATCACTTTAGTCTAGGTCCCATCTCATTGCTCTATTCCAAATTACGAGAAAGCGAACTCGTTGGCTTGAGTGGGCGCTATGAAAGTCTATATCTTTGATCGACAAATCACCTTTGAGGACTTTTTCTCAATTGAACATGAGCCGTGACTTTATACATGTCATGTCGAGGCTCATGCATTTGTGCGCTTGTGGTAGTGGTTATCACGAGATCGACCACGTGCTTTGGTCATTCACCCTCCATTGTGTTTCTAGATCCGAGTTATCCGTATACCTCAGGGCCCGAGGAAAACAACCGAGATCTCGACCATTGGAATATAATTTATGTGTTTTTAAAACGGATAGATTTAAGGATTTTGTAGTTAGTGTCATCTTGTGTTCTCCCAAGTTGTTAGCTGCCCATCGGTGTACCCCCATGTCTGTCTTTTTCATCAGTATGTCGCTTAGTTTGAGATCAAAAGCACATTGCTCTCCAAACCTTGTGTTCTCAATCCTTACCCTGCTATCCATTTACAATTTGTTACCCCTAATATCGAGATAGCCACGAGTAATCAACCCCCGCTTTACTAACGTTAGTTTTAAGTAATTTTGTAATCTAAACAATGAATATCGGCTCGACAAAGCTACAGCAAACGCGTTATATATAACGAACAACAAAAAAATGTCGGTTCCCGCTACGCTAATTTTTCCACTCATAATATCTTGTAATGAAATGAATTTCGCTCATTGAAGCCTTTAAAAAACAGAAACAGTTTTATATTGGGTACAATACAAATAAAACAGTGTGTTTAGTTTCACACAGCTATACGTTTATTTATGATTCGAAAATGTTGGAAAAAATGGAATGTAGGTGAGTCCAACAATCGATTTCAATAAAAATCGCAGTAAGGACGATCCATAGCCGTGTTCAAGGAGAAATTACGGAACATTCCGCATTGATGAAGATGACCGGTAAACTTGTGCGATTTTGGGAAGTACCTTATATTTGATAAAAACAAAGAAGAAAATCGAATTAGTTATAATAAATGAATGTACCGTCTCGAATTGTTGCTTACTTATGGGGAACAGTATGTGGACAAGGAGGATAGTATCCGTAATCAGAGTTCGATGTTCGATAAATTGGGTTCGGATTATCCTTCTGGCTCCCGTAGCCTTTAAAAAGATCTGTCGAAATGATATAATCACATATAAATAGACCAATCTCATCGCAATTATAAACAACAACTCACAAGGGCTTTCGAAATGCTTCGGAATACTCAAATCCTTGTAGATGTCCGACTGGGTGATTTCGTGTTGACTGATTTTTTGATTCTCGCTATCCATTTCCCACCACATTCGATTTTTTGGCTCTGCGGAGCTCAGAGAGGCACCGTTCTTCTTTTGGTCTAGATGTTGTTTGTTTGGGTTTCCGAGGGGAACTGGTCGTTCAAAAGATTGGAAAATTCCTTTTCGTCTCCTATATAAATTTACCTAGCTACTACGATCGGTTGTTCGAAACCAAACAAACAGGACAATATTCATCAATCCATAGCAACCTAGCAATACAAAGAAATATTTAACGTATCCATTCACTGAAACAACTTCAACCTATTTCACCCACGCATTCCAACCCTTTCCAAGCATGTATTGGTCAAAATAAAATCACGATTGTAGTTAAGAATTGAAGTTTACAATCATCAATATTATGAATGGTTACAGAACTGTGGTGTAGTATGTCGTTATATTATTGGATATCGATTCTAACAAAGGGGAAAATGGGATGGGTACAGTTTCCCATTGTGTATACAACAAAATCGTGGTCGAACTAGTCTGACGCTGTAAATATCCGACAGTTTTCTTCTTCATTACTAGTAGTAGTAGTAGTAGTATCTTCTTCATTACTAGTATTACTAGTAGCTATTACGTTCCAACTGAAACTTTGCTCCTTAGAACCTGGTCCTAAATTTAGTGTTCTTTGAGAACGTACACAAATTTTAATTTTGAGCTTGTAAAGCCTGATTCATCGAAAAATATAGAAGCGGGAATACTACCAAGAGATTGTAAATTGCGTAGAATGATTATTACAATTGATTGTAAAAGAAAATCTGTAGCTATAGGGGAAATGGCTCTAATGTTGGCTTATGGATCTAAAATTGGGCCCATCGCTAATAATTTGCTTTTAATCGTTTTTATCTAGATGAACGCGTAATTGGGACGGTACTAATGGATATTTTTGGTCGCTATTGAAAATTTAGTCGATTGCTGAATTTATGTATGGGCCCAAATTAGGGAAATTTAGGCCGACATTACATCCATTTCCCCTATATTGTTTAATGGTAACTATTATTTTTGTGTCATGGAGATTTCTGTGATTTTCTAATTTCCTACATAAGAAAAGAAAAGAAAAGAAAAGAAAAACGTTGGAATTAATAAATTTGATTTTGGCAACACTCGGTTTTTGTCCTCTTTTCTAACTTATAATAGCACTAGTCGGCAAAAAAATTTACCCTTCAACCAAATGCAACCAAAACAAATGCCTATGAAAATACGTACTTTTGATATTTTACACCCGATTTTCTCAACAATTGTGCGTGTTTCAAAAAATCAACATTCATGTACCGATTCAGCTAGGTACATTCTATAAAATGCAAGCCTATCTTTTAAAGGGTGGATCAAAAATTAAAGCAGTTCTAGACCAAAAACCTAAAAAAACAAAAAAAAAACCTCTCAGCAGAGTTCCATGAAACTCTCCATGATTGTTTGATTGGGGCAATGAAGCAAGGTGTGTATTTGATATTTTTTCAATAAATCATAGTACGAAAACTGCTAATCGAATCACAATTATGTTTGAGAATGAAATCCACACTGAATAAAAAAAAACTCTTAAAATTTCTGAATCAATAACAAAAAAAGTAAATTTTCCCTTAATTTTTTTAGTAGACTGCTACATAGTGGTTACCATTTTTAGACTCATTTTTATTTGAAAACTTATCAAAAATGCAAACTTTTCTGAAAACACAAAATTATTATGTGATTTGTGCATAGGAAACTGTTTGCTGGAATAAAGCATATGTTTTCTGCATAAAAATCAATAAACATTATTTGTGGAGAAAAAGTCAAAATTTGTGCTAACAGTTGATGTTTTACGATTTTTTTTTTTTCAATTTTTAAGTGTCCTTTGCGTCTGCGTCAATTCTGCGTGTTAAAAATCCACTGTGGTGCGCATATAAATAAGACGTGCCCATTATTCAAAATTAAACAAGATGCGCACAGAAATTTCTGCTTATGTGAATGCACTCCAAAAAATCTTCGCGTTGATGCTACGTAGCCCCTTAAACACCCCACTTCAATCATTTT